CGTTGTCCGGCTTAGTCCAAGTGGTCTCTCGTGTCTTAGCGTTATAGTAGTAACTCTTGCCATCACTGGTCTTGGTTTCCACCCAAATGTCTGTCTCATTGGATGTCTGCATGTCTTCGCACTTCTTGACGCAATCAATAATCAGTTCATACGATGTGTTAATGAATGCAAACAAACATTGAGTTATTGAAAGACAAAACAATTGAGTGATAAAGCAATGGATGCACTGATGGACTGATGCACTGACACTGAGTTGTCTTGTGATCAATACTACTGTCAAACACACAACCAGTCAATGAGTGGACCAATTAATAGTTAATGAATATGTGATAATATTGGATCAGATGATGACATTTAGCAATAAGAGCCGATTATATGAATAGTATTCATTTGATGGCAATCAATTGAATGCAATAAATGGTTGCATTTGTTTATGCCTTACATTCACACAACACGTCCCACAATGCACTCAACGCTCACACACTCTCTCACACACTCACTGACACTGGAATCGCGCATTCAATAGACAGTTAGGTTCGCATAGATTCTGCATTCAAATAGCTGTTCAATGGGATACTGCAGTAGACTATAAATTTGAATTCACGCAGAAATTACTATATAAATTTTAATATTCAATTAATCTTATTTTATAATTACACATTTAGATATATTAACACTAATTTAATGAATCAAATTGTATAATTTAATTAACATAATTAGCCATTTACCAAAATTACATGCAATTCTAATTCACTTAATGCTAAAAAGTGTAGTTTCTTATGATTTACTGTATATTGTACATATTTTAGTGTCTTGATAGATCAATGATCTAAGATCACATATTATGTGCAAGAACAAACATGATCACAACCATTTTATAAGATAATCAGTAAACAAGACCCAAATAATCAATGTTTAACCTTTAGTTCTGTCATTTGTAGTCTTTAACAGATTCTGTGTTATATTTACTCATTTCATCTAAAATTCTTTATGTTTGATATTATAAGACTGTTTCATAGAATTACAGTAAATTATATAACAAGCTAAATAAATAAATTTGATGAGCATAATTTCTATTTTGACATTCATTCATTTATATTCACAGGGAACAAGTTTATTAAATGTATTTTAATCATTTTATATTCAAATAATTGCCATTCTTTATTTGGTAAACAGGCATTAATGACAACCTTTAGTGTTTACTGAATGATTGCTCACTATATTAATAAATCTGAATATTTACAATATGTTGGAAAGATTTATTGAATTATAAACAATGAATGCTATCTTTAAGAGATACAAACTTCTAATCAGTTATAGTATTAAATATTGGTTTATATTAAATGTGATGATATATTTGAAAGTGTGGTTCAAATACACGAGTCTATACTTTTGACCGATTGGTTCGCTTTATCACTACAGAAAACTCCGGACTATGAGTATAAACTTATGGTTTGCATCCAAGTTGGAAGTGATAATCAACTGAAACAAATGGAAATCATTGATTGCATTTAACATTTGGTTACAATACTGTAGTGCAAAGAACTGAATGTTGAGATACTGTAATGCTCCAGACAAATTTTCAAGTACTGTACATTGATATACCGTACAACTGAATCAACACAACAATCATTTATTGGTTGTTTAAAAAGTAATATATTTGAACAATAGTTTTGGACATAATTCAAATAAAATTTTTATTAGACTTTAATATATTCCTAACGAAACCAATACTTATTGTTATTATTCGGGAAAAGTTGTGAATATCACAGACATTAGGCAATAATCAATCATATTTAAGTGACTCTCAAAACAATAGGTTATGACTCGAAAATAAAAACTTCTGATAAATAAATGTTTTTTAATTAACACTTAGTTAAAGAATCTTTAGTTTAGTTGAATAGAAAACAATTTAATTAATCGATGGACGACGTGATCGCCACCGAAGTCACGGCACTCAACACCACGAGAAGAATGGAGTTTTTCGTTGAAAGCTTTGCGTGAATGTCTCAGTCATGGCTCGTATGCGTCCCCTTTGAGCGCCACGACTTCGCTCCACCAGAACGGCCGGCATTTGAACCAATTGTACGGGAGATTTGCCTTCTTTTAAAGCTTGTGTCAAATTTAATATCTTTGAGAAAAACAACAATTTTAACAAATAATCAAAACTTGTACCATATATACGGTAGGAATGATAAAATGAATACCTGTCCTCTCATCACAGACATCTGTTTCTCGAAAACATTTCTATCAAACCCTTTATCATTCTACAAAACAAAACAAAATGTATTCACTTTAGATGTATTTAAATTGAAAATAGATGTAAACCATTGCATACTTTAAAGAGTTCGTAGAGTTCGTCGCATAATTCCTGTACATAATTCATATCCGAAAGTTGAGGCAAAATGAGATCCCGGGTCTCATTAGAAAAGGGTTGTTTGGCGTACGGAAGCCAAGTCCAGTAGTACGGGTCTGGCATTCAATAT